GGACTGCTTTTACCCGAAATCGCCTATTTCACTATTACTTTGCCCGTTTTCTACATTTCTTATCTAATGAGCTATTTATCTATCATAACATGTCAATTACAACTAGTCATAGGTGTCTAATGTTTGAAATCATTGCTAATTAGCATTCTACTAAGTTTTAGGACGACTTTTACCAAAAATCGCCTATTTCACTACTACTTTGCCCGGTTTCTACATTTCTTACCTAATGAGAAATTTCTTTATCATAACATGACAATTATAACTAGTCTTAGGTGTCTAATGTTTGAAATCATAGGAAATTATCATTGTACTAAATTTTAGGACGGCTTTTACCCGAAATAGCCTATTTCACTACTACTTTGCCCGTTTTCTACATTTCTTATCTAATGAGTTATTTATCTATCATAACATGTCAATTAAAACTAGTCTTAGGTGTCTAATGTTTGAAATCATTGCTAATTAGCATTCTACTAAGTTTTAGGACGACTTTTACCAAAAATCGCCTATTTCACTACTACTTTGCCCGGTTTCTACATTTCTTACCTAATGAGCAATTTCTTTATCATAACATGTCAATTATAACTAGTCTTAGGTGTCTAATGTTTGAAATCATAGGAAATTAGCATTGTACTAAGTTTTAGGACGGCTTTTACCCGAAATCGCCTATTTCACTACTACTTTGCCCGTTTTCTACATTTCTTATCTAATGAGCTATTTATCTATCATAACATGTCAATTACAACTAGTCTTAGGTGTATAATGTTTTAAATCATAGCAAAAGATCATTTTACTCAGTTTTAGGACGGCATTTACCCAAAATCGCCTATTCCACTTCTACTTGCCCATTTTTTACATTTTTTTCCGTTTGGAATTTTTTATCACAAACATTGCCCATAATACACTAACAATGCAAGTACGCAAAAGTTACACAAAATTTCATGAACGGCTCGATTTCTTGAACGGATGCTGCCTGGGCTGCTGCAGCTGCCTGTGCAGTTGTCTGCTGGCTGCTGCAGCTGCCTACGCTGCTGCTGCAGCTGCCTGTGCAGCTCCTAGGCTGCTGCTACAGCTGCCTGTGCAGCGGCTTGGCTGCTGCTGTGGCTGCCTGTGCAGCTGCCTAGGCTGCTGCTGCTGTTGCGGCTGCCTGGCAGCTGTTGCAGTTTGGTGGCTGGCTGCTTGCAGCTGCCTGGCATAACCCGAGGTTGTTGCCTCGGGTGCTGTAGTTGCCTCGGGTGCTGTAGTTGCCTCGGGTGCTCACTTTCCCAATTTCTTCATTTCTCACCTAATGAACAATTTCTTTATCATAACATGTCAATTATAACTAGTCTTAGGTGTCTAATGTTTGAAATCATTGCAAATTAGCATTCTACTAAGTTTTAGGAAGGCTTTTACCCGAAATCGCCTATTTCACTACTACATTGCCCGATTTCTACATTTCTTATCTAATGAGAAATTTCTTTATCATAACATGTCAATTATAACTAGTCTTAGGTTTCTAATGTTTGAAATCATAGCAAATTAGCATTCAACTAAGTTTTAGGACGACTTTTACCCAAAATCGCCTATTTCACTACTACTTTGCCCGATTTCTACATTTCTTATCTAATGAGCTATTTCTTTATCATAACATGTCAATTATAACTAATCTTAGGTGTCTAATGTATGAAATCATAGCAAATTAGCATTCAACTAAGTTTTAGGACGGCTTTTACCCAAAATCGCCTATTTCACTACTACTTTGCCCGATTTCTACATTTCTTATCTAATGAGCTATTTCTTTATCATAACATGTCAATTACAATTAGTCTTAGGTGTCTAATGTTTGAAATCATAGCAAATTAGCATTATACTTAGTTTTAGGACGACTTTTACCCGAAATCGAACCGGAAAAAAAGTAAAAACAAGTACCTCCTCAATGTGTTGGGCTTCAGTGCACCTATTAACTATGTCATTCAAAAACCTCATCACGTAGAGGGCACAATCAACGCCGTTGTCTTGTTGCGCACACTATAATGACACAAAGTTAAAATAGTCATGCATAGCCAAAACTCAAGGCAATTTTATTAAATAAATCAATATATCAAGGCTTTACCTTCGCATATTTCCACGTGGGACCCAAAACCGAACGAAAATTCAACTTCTTCATAACACTTCAAAAAAATAAAAAACAAACGATTTAGGAACATAGCCACTCAATCACTTAAGTGATGATACAAAACAATATATAGGAAGCAGTATGTACCTATTCAATAGGTTATTCACTAGCAACTTCCTTGGTGGCCATATACGAGCCGAGTCAAAGTAGTAGATTGTGTTATTGGAAACACAAATCACCATAAGGCTCCAATGTAGCCTACATGTATATTAAAGCAAATATCATATCAATCAATTGTTATGCGTCAACATCTATACTTAACAAACAAATTAAGAGTGATATATTTAAACTTACTCCTCAAAACAAGGGGCTAATAAGAACTTGTTTCCCGCACGTATTGATTCTCTAATAGCCCGCTCAAGGTAATCTATCACATCACGAGGGTTATGCAAGAATTTGGTTACGGAGGTCTGCTCGGGGCATAACCACCCAACTGCTGCTTCACCATCGGGTTTACTAGCAAGGAGCTCCTGTAGTGACCTTCAAGAAAGTAATGTGTGCAAGTAATTACTAGTTGCATTGTTTTGGTATGAAAATATCAAAAATACAATATGTTTAGAAATAGTCTCGTTAATTTACCTCATGAATGTTTGAATGATGGAAATGTTAAGCATGGAACCGGTTAGAAATTCCGTCACATCCTCTCTAGAAATGTATGCGATCGCATCCTCATCATAGTGGAACAATGCCTTAGGCAAGTTCACTTGAATATGTGTACCCGTAGGCAACTCACTAACACGGTTGTGAAGAAAAGTACATGCTTTCGAAAGCAACCTAAGGACTTTGGCTTCTACTAGTGGAGTACATGAAGCTCTCGAACTCTTCTTCGACACTTGTCCTTGTTCCATCTTCGGAGGACCTTCTTCCTTGGATTTTTGCTTCTCCACCTTCTTCCTTTTAGCGGACTGAATTTCCTTGGTAATCTAGTAGCATAAAAAAACATGGTCATTGCACAAAGCACATGTTAATCTAGTTACATACAAGTAGTTACATACAAGTATTGTTTACTTACCCCTCCTACCAACCTCAACCGATCACGTGGACATTGCACAAAGCTCCCGGTCGCGTCACGCAGCTTAAAAAAATCATATTCCTCTCTAGGCACCGGTAGTGGTAAGTCCTCAAACCCAGCAACTATAGAATCGATCCCGACCGAGATGTAATGGGTGCTAGAATTAGACTTAAAATGCACCTTGTCAAAAGGTTGTGCACTACCATACCCCACCAACTGCGACTGTCCACCGGTTGTTTCCCCGGGGTGAAGAAGCTCACAAGGCGTCTCTTCCTACATATTTGGTTAGGAGTTAGGACATAAGTTAAGAAATAATAAACGAAAGCCTAACATAAGAAAAGCTGATTACGTAGTGAAGTTCACCTTAACATCTGGGAAAGGTTCAGGAATCGGATTTGCTCTCTTCAGTGACTCTGCATCCATAGGATTTGGATCCTGCAAAAGTAAAATAATTAAACATGCAAACGACCTCATTAGACGAACTTCATATGACGTAATTCGTCCTAGTACTAAAATTACCTCTCTCTCAACTACTGGATCGTCCTCGGGGCATCCTGGGTGACTACATGAGTCTACTGGGGTACTCCAGGGAAATGGCAAAGGCGGCAAGTTCATGTGCTTCAGAATGGCATTGAATTGACTTTGCATCTGTTCTTGCAGCTCCGCGCGTATCTCCGCCTTTATTGATTCCTTTTCCTTCTCATCAATCTGATGTGGCGAATTAACACTTGATCTGCTTTTTGCTGATTCGGTGTATTCTGAACCCATCACCTTCTCCCACCCTAGTTGTTTCCCGCCAAAACCAATTACTCGCCCAGGGTGGTATGGTTTTCCCAAAACTAAGGTGAAAGGATCATGTTCGATGCTTGGAGTCAGCTTGCCTTCAATCACTTCCGAAGTATGCTTGAGCTTTAACAACACATAAAAATTTATCAGATCTAAGTACAATGTACTTGACAAGGAAATACAATTAATAAGTAGAAAAATTTGCTTACAAGTGCATCTGCTACTACTTTCTTATCCGGTTGCATGACATACTTGCCGGTTTCCTTGTCCATCCCATGCATAGCACACCACCAGTCAATTGCATGATCAACCAAAGTTGTCACCGTGGAAGAAAGTGGTTTATCAATTGATGACATTATGGATTTGGGGTATAGACCCGCTTTGACCCACTTTGGTCTTGACTCCGCAAAGGTCTTACAACCCATATGATGGCTATACAATTTCTTTCCGGCATTGATTCTAGCTTGTTCGGTTTTTTCCTACACATTCAGAAATATATGTTAGCATCAGTCATTGTAAGAAACTAAACATGAGTAGCCGACTCTATTGATAAATAAAAACATACAAGTGCGGTCCTAGTGGAATATTTTTCCACAAACTTCTCCCAATCATCCACCGTTATTTGTGGATATAAATCCCATGGTTTCTTATCAGGTTTCTCTTCTTCTCCATCTGCAGGCACATTTTTCTTTGGTCTTCTCTTTCTTCTCTTATGGATCCATCTCGTCATCAAGTAACTCTTGATGTTTTTGAATCTCTCTTGTACAAAAGCTTCAAAGACTTTTCTCTTGGCCGGCTCATCAGGAATATGGAACATACTCTGTAATTGGCGCAAACATCCACGTTAGGCAAGAGAAAAAAAATGAAAAAAAAACCCGAGAATCGGGCAAGGCACCAGCCTAGGCAGCTGCAGCAGGCCAGGCTGCTGCCCAGGCAGCAGCCCAAGAAGCTGCAGCAGGCCAGGTTGCTGCCCAGGCAGCTGCAGCAGCCCAAGCAGCTGCAGCACCCAGGCAGCAGCCCCGGGCAGCTGCCGGCTGCAGCCCTCGGGTTAGGCCCGGGGGTTGTTTTTGCAATTTTTTTTTTTGATATATATGAATTTAAAATAAAAGTTTGATTGAAATAAATACTTACCATAGTATCGTCCCAAAATGTTTAGAGCAACCCGTGAGGTATCTCGACAAACTCAAGTGTGATTGGTATTTTACGAGTTAGAATGCCAACTTGACTAGAAAATTTGTCGCGCCATTGGCCAGTAGGTTGACCTAACTCATCAAACTCGAGCACCATAGGAACATCGGGTTTCTTGAAAGCTTTAGTTGCACCCCTACTCCTTCTGTTCACCGGTGGCTTTACCCCTCCTCCACCACCGGTTTTTTTCACTTGCCTTTGCATTTGAGTTTCACAATGTGAATCATCTACAACTTCGGTAACCACATTATCATTAATAGGTGGGGCAGTTTCAGCTATACGCTCAAATTCATCAAGCTTATGTTGGAACTGGCCATAAGCTTGGTCTTCCAGTTCCCCCATATCTGTCTCCTTATTAACATCATACAACTCGTCACCATCATCATCATCCATATCCTCATCAGAATGAAGGTTCTCATCAGGATCCATGATATGTGCACACCTACAGTAAACAAGCAAAGCATGTTGTTAATCATCAGTAATGGCAATCAATTCTGAGGCACGATGAAAGACAAACACTTACCCTACTTCTTTGGTTTCATAACAAATTCACATATAATCCTCTAAAAAATTCATATATTTAGTTCATATTACATGCTTATACATTGAAAATACAAAAAAATAAAACACTTCCCGAAATAAACAAAGTTGTTGGAGCATAAGATATTTAGTAAATAAAACATGCATTAATAAAAGTACCTCATTCGTGTATTCCCTCATTGTGGTCAGATCGAATATAAATAGCATCATCATCTACATCAGTTGCTACATCAAGTGTAGGAGCAGTGAAAGGGGGAGAATCATCAAATACATCATATTCTTCCTCGTCCTCAACCTCTCCAACCCCTAAAATTCTCCTTTTGCCAGACAAGACGATGGACCATCTTGGATCGGACGGGTCAGTTACATAGAACACTTGCTTAGCTTGAGATGCAAGGATGAATGGTTCAAGACTATCCCGCAAGTGGCCAAGATCTACAAGAGTGAAGTCATCATTTCTCATGTTGCGCCTATTATTATCGACCCATTTACACTTGAATAGACCAACCTTGAAGTCACGGTAATCTAGTTCCCATATTTCCTGAATTTGTCCATAGTATGATAATAGTGCGTCAACTGGTGATGTATCCTTCGCACTTGCAAACTCTCTTGATGAAGCCACAAGAGTGACACCACTATTTTGAGTCGATGAGGATTTCTGATCCCGACTTTCAGTCCAAAATGTGTAACCATTTATATCATATCCCTCAAATGAATGAACATCTTCCTTTGGACCATAAGCTAGCCACTTTATTGTATCAGACACAGTCTCATCCAATTGACGCATCACACGATCATGGAACCACTTCACAAACATCTTATTATGTAACTGCATTAGTGCTCTTTCCCCTTTTGATGGATATTCAACACGCAAACTATCCATGTGCTCTTCTAAATATGGGTGAACCTCCGCAATATGATGAAGCACAAATAAGTGAGCTTGCATGATTTGATCTCGAGCAGCCCAGATCCTTTTTGACCCGATTGTGCCATGACTATCAAGTCTCCCTTCATGTCGGGATGTAGGAAGCCCAATAGGTTCGGCAACGGCAACATACTCTGCCACAAAATTCCCAATCTCCTCGGACACAATTCCTTGTATCATACTGCCTTTCGGATGGGCTGGATTTCTTACTTTATCTTGCAGTGTACCCATGTGTCGTTCAAAAGGGTAGCACCACCTCATAAATACTAGACCGCACAACTTAATCTCATGAATCAAATGCAGAATCAAATGCACCATTATCTCAAAAAGTGAAGGCGGGAAAAACATCTCAAATTTGCACAAAGTTACCACAACCGTCGCCTGGAGAGCATCAAGTGTAAAGGGATCAAGAACTTTGCTGCAGACAGTATTGAAAAACCCACAGAGGCTTGTTATAACTTCTCTCACGTGCTTTGGTAAAATTCCACGAAGTGCAATCGGTAGGAAAACTTGCATCATCATGTGACAATCATGGGATTTCATACTTGTCAACTTCAATTCTCCATTTAAGGAAACAAACCTTTTCATGTTTGATGAGAACCCAAAAGGAAGCTTAATGTCATACAAACAAGCACAAAACCTCCGTTTTTCTACCTTTGATAATGTGTAGCAAGCTTGAACCCACAACTCCGGACGAACACCCCACTCTTGCAAATCTAACCGCGCATTCTTGCCATCCTTTGTTTTTCCAGGAATGTTCATAATTGTCCCCAGAATTGCATCACAAACATTCTTCTCTATATGCATCACATCGAGACAATGTCTAACATCATGTTCTTTCCAGTACTCAAGCTTCCAAAAGATTGATTCTTTTTCAAAGAGAGCGTGTGGGTCAATTGGTTTCGTTGTTCTACCAAAAACACATGGAATACCCTTCAGTCTCTCATAAACCTCCTTTCCACTCAATGGCCTAGGCGCAACCCCCTCCTCAACTTTCCCATCGAAGGCCTTTTTCTGCTTACGATACGGATGATCGCGCCTAAGAAATCTTCGGGTCCTCACGTACACATCTTTGCCATAGTGGTCAAGGTACACGTTCGGTGTGTCATCAATACAAATGGGACATGCTTTATGCCCTTTGTTCTTGTACCCGGGCAGATTGCCATATGCAGGAAAATCATTGATGGTCCACATAAGGGCAGCATGCAAAAAAAACATCTCGTTCTTATGGGCATCATAAACGGTAACACCTTTGTCCCACATCTTTCTCAAATCATCAATAAGGGGCTTAAGGTAAACATCAATGTCGTTTCCAGGTTGCCTTGGCCCCGTTATCAAAAGTGAAAGCATTATATATTTCCGTTTCATACACAACCACGGAGGCAAGTTGTAAATCACTAAAAGTACCGGCCATGTGCTGTGTTTAGTACTAAGAGTGCCAAATGGATTCATACCGTCCGTGCACAACCCAAGCCTTAAATTTCTGACTTCACCACCAAATTCCCTAAACTTCATATCGATGTTCTTCCATTGTGGAGAGTCAGCAGGATGCTTCAACAAGCCATTTTTCTTTCTTCCCTCAGCATGCCATCTCAGGTTCTTGGCGTCTTTTGGTATTGAAAATAGACGCTTTAACCTTGGAATAATAGGAAGATACCACAACACCTTGGCAGGAGGTCCTTTACTACCAGCATTGCAGCTTGATCGCTTGTAACGCGACTTACCGCAACGTGGACACTCCTCCAACTCTTCATATTCATTTCGATACAGAACACAGTCATTAGGACATGCATGTATCTTTTTATACTCCAAACCAAATGGACACATTAGTTTCTTTGCATAATAATAGGAATTAGGAAGTTCATTCCCATCTGGCAACATATCACATAACGCAGTCAACAAAGAAGTGAAACTAGTGTCACTCCAGTTATGCTTAGACTTAATGTTAAATAGTGTAAGCACGGCTGAGAGTTTTGTGTATTTTTTGGACCCGGGATACAAAGGCTTTTTGGCAGCCTCTGATAATGATTCAAATACATCAGGTCGGTCACCAAATTCACCTTCAACACCATGCATCATCTCATCCAAGTGATCATCACCACCACCATCCTCGGTGTCATCCCCTTCACCACCATCATCACTCCCATTTTCTTCTTCAACATGAATCTCGGCACTTTCAACATGCGTCTCATTTCCAACAACATTCTTCCTATACGATCCCTTCTCACCATGCCAAACCCAAACATGATATTGAGGCCTAAACCCATGACATTGTACATGAGCCATGATGGTATCCACACTATTGACCCTTATGACATTATTACAATTGACACAAGGACAATAAAGGTAATTGACACCCGTTCTAAGCTGATACTGTGAAGCACTCTTGCAAAACTCTTGAACCCCATTAAAAAATTCCAATGTATCACGTCTACCATACATCCAACCGCGATCCATTGACGATTTAAATTGCCTTTAAACATACCAACACATTTCAAACAATGATAAATGTAACATATATTATGTAATCAAAGTACATAGCATATATATCATCCATAAATCGTAAAAATGAATGCTCCCAAAAGGTCCTTATCACTCCAACCTAACCCATCCTTGAACATCTAATCTCACTAGTGAATGTATGTCAACTTTTCAATTTTAAGGAAAATCTGGCAGCATTTCCCCCCAGTTCTCCAAGTACACGATGTAGGTAATAACTTACCTACATATGTACCCAGAGAACATGGTGAGAAAATGAGAAGCCCGGATATTCCTTAAAATCGAAAAAGAGACATACATTCACTACCTAAGTGAGATTAAACGTCCAAGAACAATCCCAACTGGGGACTATTTAAGACTTTCTCCTATTGAGAAAGACTCGAACGGGTATCTAGGCAAATGATGATGCAAGAATTCAATTATTATTTGCATTTATTTGACATTCAACAATAAACAAGTTCATTAATTTAAATAGGGCTAATAATTAAATTAACATACATACAAAATCAAACTAAGTTTACTTTTATATATATATATATATATATATATATATATCAATCCATTATATTCATATATACATTGTAATTTATTAACCACATTTAACAAACTAAAATGTTAACTAATATATATTCTATTTATAAATTTCATTTAAAGCTACTCAGATTCAAACAATATATATATACATATGAAACTTGGATTAACTACTTGAAACCCTAACTTGAAATTTTGGAATAACAAACAATTAATACTAATTAATACATATGAAACTAAAATTTAGCAAGAACTCACCCTAATTTGAGAGTGAGAAAGACAAAGATTGAAGATTGAAGCTAGAATGCGTGCTTGGGCTCGGTTCAACAACACCCTCGAACATGCACCACCACCAAGTGCACCCACGAACACCACCACCTAACACCGGCAGCCTCGAGCAACCACCATCAACCTCCGACCAAGCAGCAGCCGCCTCGACCCACCACCAGCAGCAGCCTCAACCCACGACCCACGCACGACCCCTAAACATAGCTTCACTTAATTAAATAGCCAAATTAAAAAAAAAATGAATATGAATGGAGTGGTGGTGGTGGTGGTGGCCGGAATATGAAGAAGTGAGAAGACAGGTGAGGACGAGGGAGACAGAGAGGAGGAGTGAAGGCGTGGGAATTGAAAATTTTGGGAAGTAAATTGAATGAAACAGGGAGGAGAAGAGAGGGTGTAGTACATACTGTACATGAGCCCGCTTTTTTTTTTTTTAAATGGTAAGCGGTTCAGCCTTGAACCGCTTGCCAATTTAACTAATGGTAAGCGGTTCAAGGCCAAACTGCTGGCCATTAGTTAAAAGGCAAGCGGTTCGCGCCAAAACCGCTTCCCATTTCACTTCCCTCTTTTTTTTTTAATTAATCAAATGGGAAGCGGATTTTGTAAACCGCTTGCCTATAACCGCTTCCCATCACATTTATTCTACTAGTGCAACCTTCGACCATTCCTTGAGAAGGATAGGTTGACAGGGGAGAACTTTTCCACTTGGGAAAGAACGCTAAGACTTGTTCTGAAATCTGAGGGTAAAGAGGATATCATTGATACCCCATTACCAGGACCTTTGCCAGAAAATCCAACTGCGGCAGAGATCAAGAAGCACAAGGAAGCTCATGACAGAGATATACCTATCACTTGCTTAATGATTGCTACCATGGAGCCTAGTCTTCAAAAGCATTTTGAGGACCAGGATGCCTATTCAATCATGCAAGAACTCAAAGCTTTGTTTAAGAAACAAGCTAGAGTTGAAAGGTATGAGCTCCATCGTGAGATTCTGGATTGTAGGATGGAGAAGGGAGCCACAGTTCATGATCATGTTTTCAAAATGATCGGCCTAATTCAAAGTATGGAAAAACTGGGGCACCCATACAGTGATGATTTGGCAACATACATCATTCTCCATTCACTACCAGAAAGTTTCAACCAGTTTATCATGAATTTTAACATGACTGCCACTGCAAAGACTATGAATCAATTGCATGCAATGCTGGTTAGTGCTGAGAAACAAATCCTTAAGGAACCTAAGAAGGAAGTTCTTATGATTCAAAAGGGAAAAGGGTTCAAGAAGAAGGGGCAAAAGGCTAGTGCCAAGAGCAAGGGCAAGCAAGTTGCCAAGGCTCCTGAAAAGCCTAAGACGACTCCAAAGCCCAAGGCTGCAAGTGAAAGTGAATGCTTTTACTGCAAGAAGAAGGGGCATTGGAAGCGAAATTGCCAGAAATACCATGACTTCCTCAAGAAGAATGGAGCATCAACCTCAGGTATAATGTTATAAACATTTTAACTTTCACTTAGGTATGTGATACCAAGTTGCAGTGCTTAACATAGTGATGTTGCGCAGGAACTGCAAACAAGTGAAGCTAGCATGGAAATGGAGCTTGAAGGTGCACTAGAAGTATTTGAGTGGCTAGAGATAGCTTCATAGTTTTAAATTTTTGATTAGTTTATCATGATTTTAGAACAATTTCCAGTTTTGATGAGACAATATTTCGGTTTTCTTGTTTTGAATACTGAATTTGGTTTACTTGGCTGGGACAAATGTTGATCCATGACCAAGGTAATAAATTGTTTTCATTTTGCTAGATATGAGTTAATTTTGTTTTATGACATTGATATAAGTAGATCACAAAATAATTTAGATGATTCAAAATACACTTACTTACAACAAGTAAGGTTTGGTCACATTAACCATTTGCACATCCAAAGATATGGATGGACTCTTATTCTTATATGATTATGAATCACTTGAGAATTAGAAGTCATGCTTGATAAGTTAAATGACCAAGTTTCCTTTTAGTAGAAAGGGTAAAAGAAGCTAAAATGACCTTTTGGTACTCATACATATGATGTATGTGAATCAATAAGTTCAAAAACTAGCAAAGGGATTTAACTATTTCATCGCTTTTACTGACGATTTAAGTAAATACATCAATAATTACTTAATGAAGTAAAGCTTGGAAACATTGAAATGTTCAAAATTCCAAAAATGAAATGTAAAATCAGTTTGAGATAAACAATTTAACACCACAATATGATTGTTGTGATAGATATTTAGCTCAAAAGGAATGATCATCTAAAAGGAATTGTTGAATTAATTCACAATCCAGAAACATTACAATTAAATTGTATGTTTATGAAGAATGAATCAAACTTTGCTTGCCATTGTTCAATTCAAGATTTAATGATTTACAAATATCGTTTTGAGGATATGCATTAGAACAACAACAATTGCGAATATACTAAACAAGAAACTTAACCAAAGCAGTAGAAAAGATGTCATAAGAGTTATGATTTGGAAATGTTCCAAAAGTTATCTTTTCTAAACAGGATTAAGGGTTATGAAATCAATGTAAAATGTTTACTAAGATGACTTAATACACCCTAAATCAGAAAAATAGTTCTTCATGGGTTTTCTCATGGAAACTAAAAGATATTATTCCTACAATCGCGTAGAAACAAAGTGTTTGTTGCTCGCGATAGTGTCTTTATAGAAAAGAATGTCTTTCTACAAAGCCAAGTGGGAGTAAAGTTAAATCTCGATTGAGATTCGAGACGAGCAACAAATGGATGTGGATAACACTACATCAGAGACGAAGGCATATGAAATCAGCTAATTTGATAAAAATATGTCGAAGCAAGCTAATTCCACTAGCGAGGCTTCTATTGTCCCACTAGAATGAAAGACTTCAAAGAGTTGAAGAGAATAATTCTATTGTCGCTCATACCTATCGTAGGTTACTTGGGATCAAAACAAACAGTTTGTTGAAATTCTGAGAAAAAGGTGGATTCTAAAATTTTCTTATTAGAACGGTTAGAATCCATGGCCTACAAGCAAGCTTTGGATAAATGCCAACTCAAGAAATGGCTTAAAGCCATGAAATCCAGTATGGACTCCATGTTTGTAAAAATGTGTTAGTCCATAATAGTCTTACAAATAGGGTCAAACCTATTAGTTGGGTAAGCCTATTCGGATTATTCTAGTTATGGATATCAAAATCGCCTTCATGAAATGTTCTTGATGGTGAGAATGTATATGATACATCCTAAGAGTTTTGAAATCCAGAAATTCCTAGAAAGTTTTGCAAACTTCAGAAATTCATTATGGATTGAAGTAAGCATTAAGGAGTTGGAACATTCGTTTTGATTAGGCAATCAAACAGTTTGATTTCCTTAGTAGAATGAAAAGAGATTCTTGTAGAGACAAGAAGTTTAGTGGGAGTAATTGATCTTCTCAGTCCAGTATGTAGTTGACATACAGTTCATATGAAATGATATATCAAGGCTTGAATGAGTCAAGCAGTGGTTAGAAAGATTGTTTCTATATGAGAGACTTAAGAGATGTTGAGTACATATTGGGAATTAAAATCCATGAAGTGAATATTGAAGAATGATTGGAATGAATCGAGAGACTTATGTTGATAAGGATCTTGACAAGTTCATGGAGCAAGACTCTAAAATAGGATATCTTCCCATGTTTCATGGTAATACACTCAGTAAGACTCGGTGCCTTCAAAAGCTAACAGAGTTGAGTTGTATGGATAATGTACCTCATGCTTCTGCAAAAGGATTCATTATATATTCCATGAAATGTACAAGGCAAGATGTTGCATATGACTTGTGCATGTGTAGCAGAATTCAAGCAAATTCAGAATAAGCATACGGAGAATTACCAAGAAAAGTCCTTGAGTACTTGAGAAGCACTAAAAGGAATTTTTTCTAGCTGTTGTGTTAAATGGTAATTTAAGCAAGTTGTCAAAAGGTTACACAAATGCAAGTTTTTCAAACAGGCAAGATGATTCTAGATGGTGATCTAAATACATATTTGTATCTGGATGGAAAAGGACAGTGATCTTGAAGAGTTCAAAGCAGATCACTGTTGCATACTCAATGTCAGAATATGTGTATTAAACTATAGTGAGATAGTTACAGAGGAAGTTCGGATTAGAATGTCATGTGACTAACAGGTCACCTTTGCCCAAGAACAAAGAGGCCAGAGTCAGATCACAAATCCAAACAAAAGGATATGAGATATCACCTCAAATATGAGATCATTGACCAGCGGAAGGTCGTGTTCTGCAAAGTTTTATTATGAGTGAGAAATCACTAAACCCCTTCCATGGAATAAGGTATGAGAGTCATATTAAAGTCCTAGTATTGAAGCAAGTTGTGTAATTTAAGTTGTATATGTTTTGAGAAAGCATATTACATGAGAAATGCATCAATTTGTAGAATTATGTTTAAAATAGAAATTATTATTTCTCTTATTTAATTATGGTTTTGAAAATTAAATAAAATGTCCAAAATAATTATGAACTGATGGGCTCATCAGGTTGATGACCTGGTGAATTGAAACCCCACAGGTGAACAAAATTCATATATTATTTAAAGTTCCTGGTTCGAGATCATTAAAGTGGACATAAATGATTTCAATAAATGAACTAGCATGTAAGATTGATTGGATAGCGCAGTTTCATGGGCTATAGGGGCATAGTGATGCTCGGTCAATCACTTGGATATGCATGAATGATGCATGATCGAACTATTGACCTACTTTGAAGTTCAAGTATAGAGCTTCCGTATATATTAGTGGATTCCTTTGACATGAGTGGAACATTGATTTCATTCAATGGATGTTGTGACTGTGGTACACTCAAATGTCTAGCCGTAACTGGAGATTATAAAGGGTGTTTACCGGTTATTTCAGAAGTTGAGTGGGAGTCATGTTACCACAAGATTGGATAAAGTCTACCTATTAAATTAGGAAATGTGTCATGGCCGCTTGAAGAAGGAGAATTCATAAAATACGTGGTCGCGTTCAAATGCATTACGCAGTAATCATTTGGTTTTGTAATTCTAACTCAGATTTCAAGAAACGATTTGTAGATTAATATGATCTCGACATGTGATGCAATCATATTATCAAATCGACACATATATTGACTTAAGGAATTTGAATATTGCACCCTTGTCTTAGACAAGTGGGAGATTGAAGGAGTTATGTCTTCGTCGTGTGCAATTACTAGATATATAAATGGATCAAATTATGGAGATAATTAAGTTCGTACATTTGGGTCGTCGTTTTGCCATAGCTAGAGGTACTAACGATCTTTGGACTAGTAAAATAGCCCAAAGCCCAATTGGACGGATCCTATAAGGTCACACAAAGGGGCTAGATCAAGCATTAGAGGACGAGGCCCATCATGGGCCTCATCACTCTAGGTGGCCGGCCATATGGAGTGGACAAGGGAGTTTTGGGCTTCATGCCCTAGTCTAATTATAATGAGATTATAAATAGACTAGGTGCCTAGGTTTGCAGATAGTAAGCAATTAACTGATCAGTGTGGTCAAAACCTAATTAGCAAACACGAAACCCAACCCCTCTCAAAGTCCTCTGTCTCACGGCTCTCCTCCTCCTTATTGGCGCCGGTGGTGTGTCGTGGTGGTGGTGGTTCGTGCGGTGGTCGGTTGTCCATAAAGGTGGTGATCGCGGTTTTCCTCAATCACTCGGCCAATCTAGTATTGGTGGACGGCTCGTTCGAATCTCGTGGACTAAGTAGAGGAGCAACGCTTGGGGCTCTATTCTCTCCCTGATTTGCCTGTCGAATAGCTTCGTGGAATTCACGCGTCAAAGGTATGATTATGTGTCTTGTGTGTTATGCATGTGATTCTTGGGATTGGTACTTGTTTGAATATGATTCATATTATTTCCGCTGCGTAGTACCTATAAACTCCTACAAAAAGAATAGATTTTATCTCATCCTTAGTAGGAGGTAAGCTAAAACTAGGCTCAGAACAATTCGAATTATACTTTTGATAATGATAAAAATTCATCGTATCGACATTGATATCCTGGCTTTGAAAAATACTTAGAAAATAATTTCGAGCCATATCTTTTAACTTAACAGAATCATTAATCCAAATACCCTCATTATTTTGCAAAGATAAAATTTTCCCTCTACTCTTTTTAATATTAGCAAGTAAATGAAAGTATTTAGTATTGCAATCTGCATTTTTCCTCCAGTCTAAACCTGATTTTTGAGCATAAATAATTCTCTCAATTTTATAAATTTGATTTAATTCAAAAAGCAAATCTTTTTCCAAATTAATTAAAAAGGAAGAGTGCTTTTTAGTTAGGGCAATTTAATGTCATCGATCCTAGCCACCAACCTTCTTTTTTTATTAGTGATGTTTCCAAATATATCATGATTCCAAGATTTAATATTAGCCAAAAACTCACTTCTGCCCTTAAGAAAATCGAAATTATGCAGATCCCAATTATTAACAAAAAAGGCAGAAAAAGTACAATGTTCTAACCAAGCAGCCTTACACCTAAAAGGGTAAGGGCCACCCTTACGATTATCAAAAATGGAAATTAAAATAGGACAATGATCTGAGTAGGTACGAGCAAGATGAGATACCTGAGTGTTAGGATAAGTATTCAGCCAACTCGGGTTTCCTAAAGCCCTGTCAAGTCATTCTTGAATGAGATCAAGCCCTTCCCTTGCATTATGCCAGGTAAAAGGGTTTCCAGTGAGGCCAAGATTGACCATGCAAGCAGCTTTAGCAAGCTTACTAAGATCGGCACACTGAGATTGTCTAAAATTAAGACCACCCGACTTTTCAGAGGGTCGAGTGACCTCATTGAGATCACCTAGGAAGAGCCATGGGGTATCATCAGGAGGGAGGGAAGCTTTCAAGTCATTCCATAATTTATGTCTTCTAGCAGGAGATGAAGGAGCATGAACAGCAGTTAAAAGGACTTCTTTACTATCAGGGGAGAATTTAAATAAAGCATGGAAATAATTTTTGGTATGCCCCTCCACATAGTCTATCAGTTCAACATTCCTATTATACATTAACCAAATACCTCCTCTAAGGCCATTAGGGTTAATAAACTGAAAATCATCAAAACTAAGCAATTTTGCAACCTTTTCAGCACGTAAACCATCACTCTTAGTTTCTAGAATGATAAAAATGCTAGGCTTATGGATAGAAATTACCTCCTAAGCGTGAGGAATAAATTCATTCCTAGTTACTCCCCTTACATTCCATAAAACTACCTTCATATTAAGGTCAGGGAAATCTGGTACGGGGTTTCCATTGCAGAACAGAGCATCAAATTTGTCCCATTCCTTCCATTGCATCGCACACGCCATTGACACGACATCGTGCATTTTAAGCGGAAGAACCATGGAGTCCAACTCCATGATTGTGTTCTTTGTCTCCTAGAAGTTCACATCTATTTGTAAACCCACTATCCCTTTTTTTATCTGCTTGAAGATTTTCATAAGGTGTTCTGGGCTTTCTAGATCTTGTTCGCTGTTTCCCAAATTGAGATCGATTATTTGAGGGTTGGAGGGAGGAGGAACCAGGTCGTGGTGGTGGTAACTCGGCCAAGGGACTTGTTGTTTGTACCATGGTCGAGCGAATTGAGGTGTTGGTGGTGGTGAATTGGGGGGGGGGGGGGTTGTGGTGAATTTGAGAGTTCATCATACTTGTAATCTGGAGCAAGGTGTTGTACATCAACTCTATTTTTGCCGGAGTCGGAGGAGACTCGATCGACGACCATATGAGAGGAATTGGGGGGGTCGGGGAGTTGAGACAATCTTGGAGATTTGAGCAGGTGATAGGGATGGACGGAATGGAAATTGAGTTGGGGATGGTCGGAATGGAAATGAGTTGGGGATGGTGTCGGGAGAGAGGGATTGAATAGAGGAGGGGATGGGAAGCGCATCGAAATTGGCTGTGCTAGGGTTACCGGAAGACCCTGGAGAGACTGAGAGCTCGACGATGAGAGGGAGAGATTGGTCGGAGGGAGAGAGAGCTGTTTCGGAGGAAAGGATTCCTTCCGGTTGATTTTGACAGTCCGACGCTGTGGTCGGATTGGAGGCAGTTTGGCTTTCTTTTCCATTGTAGTTGTTTTCAGTGAATTGTTTTTCAGTGGTTTGTTTTTCGTTGATGATCATGAGCTCTAAGTTGGGAAGTAATATAGAGGGAGATGAAGGGTTTGCATGTATGTCCATTGCTGAAGCCGAGTTGCAGGGTGCCAAATGGCAATTGGTGTTTTTGGGTGGAGCAATGGAAGAGGAAGGGGAAGCGTGTGGGAAAATAAAATTGGGGGAAAGATTTTTAGGATTTTGTTGATTATTTTCAAGAATAAGCTCATCATTGCCTTCTAATATATTATTAATTAAAATGTATTTGGGTAAATTAGAAGTGGGGTCTAGAATAGCAAAAGGGTTGGAAGAAGAATTCTGATGTTTTTGGTTCTCAATAGATTGAGGGGATTTAGACTTTGTGGTATTTGGGCTGGGCTTAGAGGGGGGCTGAGAGTTGGACTTGGTTAAAGTGGGCTTAGAAATAAAATTAATTTGTGGTTGGATAATTGGCTTAGTGGGAGTTTGAGTTTTTTTCAATGTGGATTTTGTTTGATTAAATTTCTTCTTATTGGAAACAGTAGTCCAAGGACCATATTCCGAAGAATTATGGGAAACCAAGACCCCTAAATCATGGAGAGTGGATGGTGAAGACTTTCCATAGGTAGTGGTAGAGGGAGATTTTTCATGGGAAGTGGAGGGTGAAGACTTTTCCATACTTGAAACATCATTGTTTGTAGAAGTAGAGGTAGATAAAGTACCTTTACCTTTATCCACCAAATTGACCTTAAGGTTACATTTTTCTTTAGTGTGGCCGATTTTACCACAAATAAAACATAAACATTGTATATTTTCATATTCTATAGCTTGCAAGCCATTACCTACCCAAACATTGGTAACTAAAGGAATAGTTAGATCAATATCTAAACAGACTCTAGCATATCTAGCTCGAGTGAGATGATCAGTAGCATAATCAACAAGTAGAGGATTACCTGCTAATTTAGCGATGTCGAAAAGGGCTTCCTTGTTGTAATATTCAACTGGCAATTCCGGGAAACGTATCCAAACAGTCATTTTATCGAACGGATTCATGGAAGGTCGAAAATTGGGTTTCCATTTTGTTAACATTAGATAATGGTCCAGAATAAACCAAGGCCCCCCTAAAATGGCTCGATCATAATCATCTTGAATAGAAAATCGGAAAAGATAAACATCCTTCCCTAAATCAATCACTTCAAGAGAGCCTTTAGGTCTCCACATGGCTCTAACTCTTTGAGTTATGAAAGAAGGTCTAACCGAAACCTGAAATAGACTTGATTTGACTCACTTATCAATTTATCATAATTTGTAATGATCCAAACAATCCAAACCACTCGAACCAAATAACCCAATTAACTCGAAATTTGACCCAAATCCAACCCGTTGACCCAAATTGACAGGTCTAGCCTTGACCCTTCTAAAAGGTGGTTTTTATTAGATGTGACTAAAGGACAAGCCAGGTTGGGCCAAATAAACCAAATTGAGCTTAATCAACCCACTTGATCGGGTCTGACTAATATTAGTAGGGCCAAAAATTCTTTCGATGAACCCGTAAATAAGATCGGGTCGGTCTCACGGGCTAAAAATGTAGATTATCATTCAAATTTTTTCTTTTTTTTACCCTCTATTTTATAGTTTTCAAACAACAAAATTTTATTTTTCTAAACTTAAAAAAACCTCCTCTTTCCATGTCTTTTGATGTCCCAAAAATTTAAGAGCTCAAAATGCTTACTAAGGTCAACCTTTAATTTTAGAAAAAAAAATATTCACATATGTAAGCCAGTCTACTCTCAGAAGTAAATTTGCTTAATAAAAGAGGAAGTGTTTTTTTTTTTTTTTTTTTTTTTTTTTTTTTTTTTTTTTTTTTGGAGAAAAGAGGAAGATCTAGTTTTTCTTCTAAATAAATAGTTAAAAAAACACTTGTCGAATACTAATTTCATAAATAAATAAACAAAAAATCCTAATTAGTGATTAGCATGGTCAACAATCTTAGCATGGCATTTGGGGCCGAATGAAATAAAAGATTGTTATTTATTTATCTATAAACACATGATAAATTTGAATTTTCTTATTAATAAATACAAGTACTATTCTAATCCCATGTTTAAAATTCCAATTAGAATAGCATTACATTTGGGGCCACATGCAATTAAAGATTAAAAGGTTGTTAGATATCTACAAGCACTTAATACACTTGGGTTTTCTTATTAAAGTAGAGGAATTAGAAACCCAAAGGAAGAAGAAAGAGTAAAGAGGCGATGAAAGAAAGCTGCAGAAAGAGGTCAACGACGTGTATGGCAAACCAAAATGACATCTGTTTTACTGCTCTTCTTCATTCAAAGACACGTTCTTCTTCTTCTTCTTCTTCAGTGTTTTTATTCACTACTACAACAATTAGTACTATGTTTTTATTATTCTCATTTGTTCATGTTTCCTGTTGCTGCTCCAATTTCAAAGACACCAACATTAACATCAACACTATGGTATCACCTTTCTCTTCTCTCATATTTGCTCCTGCTCCTACTTTCTTACACCTCCACAAATTTGCCTGTCTCATTCCAAGACTTTTTGTGTAATTTCTCCTTACTATTTTTTATCTATTTTGTTTTTTTTTTTAAATGTATTGCTGTTAATGATGCAATTAATTTGTTCTTATGGAGTTGCGTTTATTTAGTTCTGTTCACATTTACTTAATTTCAATTCCAGTTCAGCATTTAATTTCCCCCTCTCATAAAATATTCAATTCAGTTCAGTTCGGCTCCAATCAGTTCAGTTTTATTCAATTCAGTTCAGCTTCAATTAGTTCAATTCAGTGAATGTGAACAGAACTTTAGTTGGGAGTGTTTTGTGAGCATTATTGGGTTGTTGAGATTTTGTGATCCGTTGTTTGGTAGAATGATTGACTTGGCTTATATTAAAACTAAATGGTGTCAAGTGTAATAATGTTGTTGAGTAGATATTAAAAAATAATTTAGTAATATCAACTTTTATACTACCTCCTTTTCGTATTATTTGCGCCGGTTATATATATATTTTTTCTATCTACTTTATGTTAAATTATTGTAAATACTAAATAGTATGAAACGTATAATTTTTAATGATGTTTAATTATTTACTTGTGTGTTTTAATGGCCAAACTAGTGTGTGTCTTGACCGCATTAGCCATGTTGGAACGGACATAGACCCTGGTAGCGGATTGATATAGCTGATATAATTGGACTAGATGGTTCATGATTATAAATATATTTATCAACTAGTTTGAATAGCTCATTATATTTGCGGATTTGACTAGATGGTAGTCATCAACTGGTTTGAATAGCTCGTAATATTAGCTGGTTTGACTAGATGGTTGTCATCAACTGGTTTGAATAGCTCATAATATTAACTAGATGATTGTGTAAAAGTGTTTGGTAAATATTACCTCTGTTTATTAGATGGTTGTAAATAACTAATTGTATAAAAGTGTTTGGTAAATATTACCTCTGTTTAGTTAAGTTGATGCTTGTATTTTCAGTGCGATTGTTCAATTGTTTACAATTCATAAGGATATAATCAATATCACATGGGATTGGTTGTTATATGAAGGGTATGCACATATAAATGGGTTATTCTATAGCAGTAGATTCAAATTCTACATGGCAAGAAGAAACTGATTGTCCAAATAAGTCTAGCACAATCTTAAACCTGATGAGCATCATTAGTTCATTACTGTGGAGCTTCACTGAGACTAGGCCATGTATCTATTTAAGAGTCCAACTTCTTCCTATGTTGTGATTGACAGCCACAAAATGCACCCATTTTGTGGCTATCAATCTGCATTTTGTGGCTATCAATCACAGCATTCACAAGCTTAGCAGCAAAGTGTAATGGGGTGGGTCTTGCAGTCAAGCTCCCTTTTGTCCTCAAGTATTTTAATGTCTATTCATTAGGGGGATCTGGACACACTAGTTCAACAGTCCATTCTTCCCCCTCGGCAGCCACACCAAAGCTCCTTGAAGTTGATAATGGGTTTAAATAGAGCAGCCAGCCTACTACGAGCACCCTCTGGTATCAAATCTTAGGGAGAATTGCAGTTTTGGCCCAGCTGAATTGTTTTCATTTGATATGTGTTCTAAGTTTCAGAAAAGATAACATGATTTGTTTGGTATGCAGTCCGGGGGGGGGGGGGGAGGTGGGGATGTTATTGCATCTCCCTGCTTAAACAATTGACTTACGTTTAAGCATGGGTCATGATAATAAACTGTTAGCATTCTTTGAGGAGAGATATATGTTTAGTTGTTTTCTGCTGTGAATATAGAATAAGCATATTCAATTGGATCAAATTTTCAATGCCGCCTACCTAAAAAGTAGATTTTTTTTTTCCATCTTATCATGTATTATATGCTGACTGAGAATGTTGTTTTCTTTGCAATTAGGACAGTAAAAAGTATAAATCCGAAGTTTGCAGCACGCAATCTAGAAGCGCCTGTAGCAATTTCTCCATGCACGATGCATTTCATATGCTTGATGCTGATTTCTTGAGTGACAAGAAGGTGATTTTTTTTGGATGCATGTGAAGTTCTTAGTATTAGACTTACTATTAATATGTTTCAAGTTTGTAGTGCTAAAAGTTTATCTGCAATTTAGATGGTTGATATTGTAAAGGAGGCTTCAGAATTTACCCTCCCTATTACTAAAGCTGATCGCAAACTAGTCGCTACTTCTAATGGAGGACTGAAATATCCATCTGTTTTAGTTTTTAACCCTGATTGGGGTGCTAAACAAGCAGAACCTGCAAAAAAAACATTTTCCTACCCTTCTTTCTCTGACATTCAGAGGCCTTCCAATGAGGAGGATATTGCCTTTATGAATGTGAGTTTTCTGCACTTCTTCTATATCTGCTTCTTAGATACTTTCTTTGACTTCTATTATTAGTGCATTTCTTTGACTTCTGTTATTAGTGCATTTCTTCCGCGTTCATAATTTGTATCTTGTCTCCTTTTTGTTGGTAAGATTAGATTCTTGAATTGGGACAGCTCCTTAAGGCAAAAAAGATTTCATCTGTTGAGCTTACTGAAATTTTTCTCAAGAGATTGAAAAGGTGTAATATTTTCTTTGCTTAATGTTTTATCCTTTCTATATAGAAGTAATGGAAATATTATAGTACCCAAAATTTCGGTGTTGCCCCAGATTTATTAGATGTTACCTTCTGTATTCACAATAGGTTTTTGTCCCTTAATGTAAAAATTCAAATATCAAAAGTTGATGTCTTGAATCTAGGCATCTCTGCTTACATTAGCATAAAAAAAAAATGCAGAAAGAGACCCAAGGGTAGTCAGGATATGATCCGGGAATGAGGGGTAGTAATTATTTAATTGATTTTATAGTGCCATCTTGCTTCCAAGTTTCTCAGTTTTTAGTCTGTGCCAGGTATAATCATGTTCTCCAATCCGTGGTGACTGTAACAGAAGAACTAGCATACAAGCAAGCAAAAGAAGCTGATAGGCTGCTTTCTGAGGGTGTATATTTAGGTATTTTTATGTGTATCTTCTAGACACTTAGTCACTCACATTTCTGTATCTGTTCAATGTATGAGTGCTGAACTTGTATGCAACTACTAATTTTGACTCGTTAAGATATTAACTGATAGAGTATATGAGTATATAACATATTCCTGACGAGACTATCAGGAATATGACCATCAGGAATATGTTATATACTCTATCAGGACTCAACCAAAAGGTTAAGCTGATGGTTGAGGCAGGCCATCTCATACCCGGCGCGAATTAATTCCACTTTAAAGGAGGGGTGGATGAGATTCGAACCCGTGACCTCTATGTCACGTTGGCTCTGATACCATGTTAAAGGACCAACTCAACCAAAAGCTTAAGCTGATGGTTGAGGCCCAGGAATATGTTATATACTCTATCATTAACTTAGCTAAGTGGAGTTTTATAAGCATTTGTTACATAACTGAAGCTTTCATTTGACAGATGTTTGTATCACATCTTCTCACAAATGTCAAAAATACAGTTTCTCAGTTGAACTTGAACCAAAATAGATTGCTATGGGTAGTATAAGGAAAGTTGTCGTCAACAGTAAGTAACATTTATAGAATTTTAGAAATGGAGATGGAGATGCTGGAACCTGGAAGGAAATGTAAACTTTGTATCTCCCTTTGCAAAATACTCAGTTACGTGATCTGTATGTTAAAATCTTTGCAGGTCCTCTTCATGGTATTCCTTATGGGTTGAAAGATATAATTGCAGTTCCCCAGTATAAAACAACTTGGGGTTCCCGAAGTTTCAAAGATCAAGTGCTTGATTTTGAAGCTTGGGTTTATAAAAGGTCCAAAAGAAAAATCCCTTTCTACCTGTGTGCAATAATCTTTATTTTCTCATGAAATTAAGCTATTGAATGTAGCCTCGTTTTCTTAGAAACGTAGATATTAAATGTAGTTTTTATGTCTGGCAGGTTAAAGTCTACTGGTGCAGTTCTTGTTGCAAAGCTTGTGACTGGTTCGCTGGCCTATGATGACATATGGTTTGGAGGCAGGACAAGAAACCCATGGAACATAGAGGAGTTTTCAACTGGTTCTTCTGCTGGGCCGGCTGCTTGCACATCCGCAGGTTATTTTTCACCTTTCCCCCCTACAAATCACTGCCTACCATTTATTAGATAAAATTTTGGTCCTATTTGGGGTCATTTCAATTAGTATGCCCCGCGTGTTCCTAAAATATTTTCGTTTTGCTTCTTTGCGTTTTATAAGGTTAACTTCCTAATGCTGTTGATTGTATTAGTATAAAAATATAGTAGTCTTAGTATTTGTCTAAGGCTTTGAGATACATCCATATACATTATACAATACTGAAATGAGCTGACCTTAACCATAGAAGTCACAGACAACGATAATTTTGGGCTGAAAAGAGCAGTTCAATCGTGTTCTTTATGCTTATCAGCTTGCTTTCATTTCACAGAAATTGATTAGTTTGTTATCTCCATAGTTCTCTAAAGAGGTGATATGCTTTGATGATAGGCATGGTGCCTTTTGCCATTGGATCAGAAACTGTAGGCTCAATGACTTACCCTGCTGCTCGTTGTGGTGTATCTGCTTTACGGCCAACCTTTGGTACTGTTGGTCGAACAGGTGTGATGAGTATATCAGAAAGTTTGGTAAGAATTCAACTTCTTCAGTTTTCATGCTATTCCCTCCACTCTATATTATCTGTTCATCTATTTAGTTAATAATTATCCATATTATCTGTCTGATAATATATCAGCGAGACCTGTATACAGTATACTAATGATTTATTCTTGACAAACTAAATGCTAGTATGCTACTAACAAATATAAATTTATTTATTTTTTTAAATTTGGTAACGGAGGAGTATTTGCTATGATTTTGTCTCGTATTCACTCTTACTCTCAGAACAGCTGATATTTCGGAATTTAATGTTATTGTTAATTAAACAGGATAAGCTTGGCCCTTTTTGCAGAAGTGCAGCAGATTGTGCTGTCATTCTGGATAACATTCGAGGCAAGGATCCAGATGACCTGTCTTCAAGGAATATGCCCTTTGGTGATCCTTTTGATGTTGATCTCACAAAGCTCACTGTTGGATATCTTGATGATTCTGAGAAAGAGGTGTGCACTTTTGTTCACCAAAGCAGAAAGAGAAACCTACATTCGTTAGTGAATTAATGTTCATTGTCGAGTCATGGATGAAATTCTTTTATGGTACCTATTTTCTTTTAAACCTGATTTATTTGCCTAATTTCAGGTTGTTAATGTACTTGCATCAAAGGGTGTTAACATGGTTCCTTTCCAACTAAATTACACGGTTGACTCTGTCCAAGGAATTTTGAATTTCACAATGGATGTTGATATGCTAGCTCATTTTGATGAGTGGCAGCGCTCTGGGCTGGATGATGAGTATGAAGCTCAGGATCAATGGCCATCTGAGCTGCGACGTGCGCGAGTTGTTACTGCAGTAGATTATATGCAGGTTAGTCATATTTTCTGTATATAATATTTTCATGATGCTTTGGCATCTATATAAAAAATTTCTGATATGTTAAATACAAGTTTCCCGAAACGGATAGTGGACAGTGTTTGGCATCTATTTGAGAGATTGATCATGCTGTTGATTTCACTAATATGATTTTGAGTTTATGCTGATGGATGCCTCGCGTGTAATTAAGCCTTTATAACCTACCAAATTTCATGAAAGTATTTATGACCTTCCAAATTTCATGAATGCAAGTATACAACCTGACCTGATCAACCTTGGCAACTCAAGGACTCCTCTTATTCCACCTATTAGATAATATATACATGTATAGCAATTTATTGTCTTGCAGCTGTGTTAATTGAAAAATGAAGAACTGAAGACTTGCGCCTTCATCCTCAACATTATTTAAGTTTCATTAATGGTTTGATCATAGTAGCAATGAAGCCTAAAGTGCAGGCTACCCAGTGTAATCTTGAAATATTTTTGTACCATAAGTAAAAGTTAAAAGTACGAGGGTACCATTAAGTGTAAAACACATACATAACAAGTTCCTCCACCCCCCCCCCCCCCCCAACGCCACCCCCAACACACACACTTAAAAATACATAAACCACCCTTTCTTATGTTTAGGTGTAGATTGGAGGTTATAATGTTTGTTTTCTCAAGAACTATGATTTATAACATTTTTCTATTGAGAAATTTTGCCAAACTAATTATAGTTCCATAAGTCCCGCAAGCTTTTCGTTTAAAAGATGATAGAGTACTTGTTGTGTGACATCTGCAGTTTTGTTGGGAAAAAATGTTTATTATACTCAAAATACAGATTTGAAGACCCTAATATCCAGATATTTTGCAGGCACAAAGAGCAAGAGGAAGATTAATTCAAGAAGTGAGAGAAAGTTTTACAGTTGATGCATTTATTGGTAATGCAACTGACTGGGAGAAAGTTTGCATGGGAAACCTTGTTGGCATGCCTGTGATGGTTATACCTGTTGGATTCGATCCAATAGCTAACTCAACTTCAACTGACATTCGAAGGAGAACTACTGTCACGACTGGCATCTATGCCCCTCCTCAGCATGATCACATTGTAAGATTTTCAATTTTTCTGTGGGACATGTCAATTGTTTTGCAATCTGATACGATACTTGCATCCTTGATTATTGTGTCACTCGGATCCCAATAATTTCATTTCACCCCAATTGTGTTGGATGCTTTGGTTTTCTATATCGGCATAAACACTAAGCACCTTTGGGACCAAAGGCTAAATCTAACACTAGGACTTATCCCATGTCCAACTTAGTTCGAGTCTTGAGTAACAGTGTATTTGAAAGGTCATTTTGCTTTGTTCAGATTTTTAATTTTCCTTTTTTGCAGGCTCTGGCACTGGCTATCGCTTTTCAATCAAGAACTGATTATCACAAACAGCGCCCCCCAATTGATGATCTTGGTCCTAACGATTCGATTTCAAATACACCAAGTACTACCTATCCTCCACGGCAGTTGCGAGCATAACAGCATAGAGGAATTTTTTTGTGCCAAATAAAAGCTATTTATGGGCAAACTCAACTCCACTGATCAAGAATTGTACCTTTGGGGTTTTTATGTGGCTTCAGCATAGAGGATTTTAAGGTTTCAATTAAAAAAAAAAAAAAAAAAAAAACCAGCTCATTTTGTCATCATCAAGATATCTACTCTTCTGTGAAGCAGTTCAGCAAAATGTTCAGAAACTCAGAACTGCATTTGTGCTTCCTACATTTGTATGCAATGCTGTTTTTAAAGACTAGTCCTAAATATATTTGGTAAAGTTTAATAGATTATTTTGTTGCCAAGAATTTAGTACTTCCTCCGTCCCTAAATTACATTCCTCTTTCTCTCTATTATGTGAGGAATAAATGCTAGAAAGAGGAATGTAATTTAAGGACGGAGGGAGTAGGATTTTATTTGTGTGGCATAGCAGTTTAGCAGCTAGTTAAATACCCGAGAATCCCGACATTCTTACAGAATGCTGCGTGCGATCGTATCATACAAATTAGTCAATAGATTGAGATTTTACTTGTGAAAATGTGGTAATATCATCTATCGGCTTGTATCAAACATAAAATTACCGAGTAAAACGTCATATTCATGATAAAATAAACTAAATATCCAATAAAAACCAAAATACAGGGAGTGCAAAATTCCATTTTCATCGAGAAACTAGTCCCTGAGATCCTGTTAAAATCCTCATTTACATTCCTACAACTGAATTATGCTTCCAAAAAATTTCTTGCAACCACTAATGGTTACTCTTCTTTCGGTGGCCGTATCACGTCCGACAATATCACAATGTTAAAACCGGTATCACATTTATAACAAACTATCTAGGTCTCACGCCTAGTTCTTCGGCGAGGAGCAGCAGTTTCTTCCTTCTCTTCCTCTTCCTTCTCCTCACTGCTTTCCTTGGTGCTTGAAGCCTCTGGTGCAGCAGGTTCACTTGCTGGAGCGTTCACAGCAGCCTGCACAGGGTAACCCAAAAAATAAGGATACATGAACAAAAGATATGAGGAGCTTAAACCTATCTGTTGGAGAGTAATGCAAAACTCACCGGCTTCTTCCCACCAAAGAGAAGCTTCAACAAAATGCTAACAAAGACCACGGCAATGGAAGCTAGGACACCGATGGTGATATTTGGTTTTGTCTCGGCTTTCTCAATCAATTCCTGTAAATAAACAAATGGTTTAATACACCTCCAGAATACCTGTTATCGTCATCTTATAATTTATTACACAAGAATTTAGTCAACAATATATATACCGCTACTTACATGAATTTTAGATTGGTAGGGTTCCAAAAATGGGACGTCAGCAACCTTGTATAAGAGATCAAACACCTTCTTCTGCAAAAGAGAACACACCACAGTTCAGGTACAGACTCAAATAGCATAAACACTTCATGACAAAAACAAAGGCGAGATTTCTACCTGAATGCCTGAAATGGCATCTGGCTGGGCAGCTGCTTCCTCAGCCTTCTGTTTCTCTTTCTCTGCGTCAAACTTTGGCTTCCACTGGGTCTGCCTGTATGATTCAGCTGTCTTTTCATCCTCGGCAATCAAAATGTTGTCAAACAATATGCCGTCTTGCATGGTCCATATCTCTATACCAATTGCAGCAATTGGCTCAAAGTTTGGAGTATCAAGCTCAAAGTAGTTAGGGTTAGGAATTTCCTGTGGCTTCCAAATACCCTTATAGTTTGGGTTGTCAATTAGTGGAGCATGCCATTTCCCCTTGTAAGCCGGGTTTGCCTTCATCGGCCTCTTCCATTCACCACAACCAGGTGCTTCTTCACACTTGGGATTCTCAATTTTTGGTGCTTCCCATTCACCATCCTCTTCATCATCCCAATCTTCAGGTTTAGATGCCTCAGGATCATCAATTTCCTCTGGTTCATCATCCAACCATCCCTCAGGTTTCTCAGCTTCCTCATCTTCAATTTCCATTGGTGCACTCTCATCCCAATCATCAGGTTTAACTGCTGCTGGGTCAGGAATCTTTTCCCTCTCATCCCAGTCCTCGGGCTTCTTATCTTCTGGGTCGGGAATAGTCTTTGGTGGGATGATAGCTGGTTCAAAATCATCACCTAAAAGAAGGTTTGCCCTCTTCTTCTCCTCCCCGTCAACCAAGATTCTCACCTCATTGTCAGGGGTCAAAACAGCGGTGTAAACATGAGTTAACTTGTCAGATGGGACAGATGGAGGAAATTTAAGATGGTGTTCAACATATTCTCCACTTTTTGGGTTCTTGTGCTTCAGAATGAAGTGAACCTTGTTTGTTGACCCACATTTGTCAGGCCCAAACATGATAGAATAAGGTGACTCATTATCAAACTCCTTTGGCACCCATCCAGCTTCCTGAGGACGGAGATATTTCAAGTAGGCACCACCACATTCAAGCCCATTCTGGAGGCGAGTTTCGAATTGAAGAACAACATTTTTGCCCTTCAATTCGACAGGTTTTTCAAGTTCTTTCACAATGGCGTACTTCCTTGCCTTCTCACTGACTAGAAGCCCATAATCTTCATGTCCCTCACTTTTCTCATGCTTCCAAACACCTATGCAAAAACAAGATTATATAAGACAACACTCATACCAAATTGATTTTGAAATAAGAAATTCCACACATATTCCACACATATTCCACACATGTTAACGTACTTCAAGCAATTACATTACTATCCTAAGCAAGATAAGCATAGCCAAATATCTATTGCAGAAAACAAATTTAAATCCTTCTTTCAGAATATGAAAGTCCAAACACAATTTTTACAATGTACAAAAAATAGTGAGAGCCAGATCCACGTTACCCATAAGACCATAAATGTGAAATCCAAGTTATACCAGGAAAAACTAGTTTCCAAAATATATCCTAATGCTACAAGGAAAAAAAAAATTTGTATCGACACATGACATGATGCGCATATGATTATGTGACAAGGCACGCCAAGGCACAGCACTTAATGCCTATTTGTAATGAGAGATGATTCATGATTCTCATCCATATTAGATAGTTGTATAATAGCTTGGATGACAATTTTCATGCTTAACCAAGTTGTGATTTTTTAATAATGTAGAAGATAGTTTACCTTCTTAATATTTATGGGAATTAAGGCAAAACCCAGGTGATGAGAAGAGTTACATAACACGAGTAATGTCAAAGACAACTTGCATACCCGACCAAGATATGATTTATTAAACCGTAAAAGGTAGCTTGCAAATTCATTAACCATGCTTGAATTCACTCTAGGATCTTCTCTATATATTTCTATTTCAGGCCTTGTATTGCTCACACAGACAAACATAATTATGAGTAAAATGAATTTTTAATTGAACTCCACCCTAACCATATTTCCTCCCTCCACAAATACTTTATCTGCTTGTACATTTGATTAGTATTCGAGATTCATGTGTGTATAATACTCTGTAATAATCAATCAAAGAATAGGCTGTTTGGAAGCACTCAGAAACGGTGCAATTTAAGCAACCTAACATAATGACATTAAATACTCCCGTTATCCATAATTAATAGTCGCATTGTCCCAATCCTTTTTTTTTTTTTTTTGAGTAACTTGTCCCAATCCTTCATAGTGAGGATACATTCAGAATCTAGAATATGCATTATCTAATCTACTTCAGGAAATGTGTCAATCATTCCCGACATCTCAAAATAGTACACGTGAATGTTAGAATTCTAGACGAAATACAATCGAAGTCACTCACATTCTTATCAACCATCTAACATCGACATTCACAACCTACAAAAAATTAAAAAATTTCACCAGCAGACTTCTATCACAATTAGATCTACGAGTAAGGCAAATATAACTAAAATCGAAACTTCAAAAAATCAAAAATCAAAACAGCATTTGTCAAATAACCATTAACTACTATTACAAGCTAATTTTCAAGATCATTAACACAAAACCACTCTATTATCCAGATCTACAAGCAACTAAGAGTTTGTTTCGTAGAAATTTACCATTGTATTCTTCTTTCTGAGAAACGATCCATCGACCTTCGAACGTTTCATCAAACGATTCGTAAAAGATCTGAGTTCATCATCCAATTTACAAAAATCAATCAATCAATCAATCAACAAAATAATTCAAATCTCACAAATCAAAAACTCAATTGACTTACAGGATCAGCAGCACAAAGCTGAATCGCAAAGCATGCAACAAGCAACAATCCAACAAACTGATTCTTACTCCTTTTACGCGTCTCCATTGACACAAATTACACTGAAAAAGAGCTCAAATTCTGGAAAAATAAACCAAAAATCGATCAACAACAACAAAAGATGAAATTCAGGAAACCCTAAGTAGAAGAAGAGTGAGAGAAAATTACCGTAGTTTGAATGATCGAGAAGTTTCAAATGAAGCGCATCTAAGAAAAAAAGTGAAGAGAGATTTGTTTTAATAGGACTGCTAACGAAGTACTCGGACCAATGATATCACTCGCCACGTTAAATTAGCCAATGGTTTTATGCCACGTCAATTTTTCCTACGTTACATTTTTATTTTTATTTTTGTTTTTATTTTAATTTTCTCACCCACCCGTTTCGTTGACCCGAGTTTTGGGTTTTATTTTTTCCATTCCTTGTTTTTCTTACATGTTTCCGATAATAGTAGCTTTTCTTATTCTATTTTTGGGTGTTTGATAATATTTTTTTTTATTTTATTATTTTTATTTTACTATATGGATATGGTAGATTGGGTTTCTTTGTTGGAATTTGGGGTTAATATGTAGTTGTCCCAAGCTAAATGTTGGACTAGCTAATTATGTACTTCCTCCGTTCCTAAATTACATTATTATTTTTAGCATTTATTCCTCACATAATCTGAGTTCATCATCCAATTTGTTTCGTAGCAATTTACCATTGTATTTTTCACATAATAGAAAGAAGTAGGAATGTAATTTAGGGGCGGATGGAGTACCAATGCATGTACCAATCGGATTGACGGATTGTACTTGTATTCACTCCACTTTTCTTTTACTTGTAATGTAGTTATAATATATTTTTAAGAAGCGATTAGAGGAGAAAAATGACTGACTTTATCAAAATAATTTTTGACATAGGAAATAGGGAAGAGTTAGGCAATATGTTTAAAATTTTATTTTGCTAAGTTGTTTGTTTATACCATCTAATCTCAACCTCAATGAGCATGTCTAGAGATTGTGTTGCAAGTTAATGAAAACATAAAATTTACTATTTTATTTGAAATAATAGCAAAATATACCGGTTGTTTTAAGGTGTATCCATTAACAAATTTAACACAACCGTACACATCTTGACTTGAGTGAAGCCCTTTATTATTTAATTAATGTCCTTTCATCTATATCTATTTGATGTCTCTTGTATTAAGGTTGTAATACATAGCCGGATCTAGGGACGGGCCTACCTCAACCATAGCCTACATCATGCCCAGAAATTTTAGAATTAAATACCAAATTGTTGTATTTGTTTAGCAATAGAAAGATAGTTAAGTTTGACATACTAGTACAGCATGTCCGAGAGATAAAATCCCATAAGCCACATCTTGTAATTTTATTTGTATGTTTGTGTTTTTTTTCCACAAAATACTTATATGAGGCAAGTCAACCCGTATGTGTAAAAGGTTTTGGTAATATACTAATATGTCATCAAACTTTAATGAGTAATCTAAAAAGAAATTTAAATAAGTAAACATAAAACTCACTATATAATAAGTATAAGCATAACAAAATGATTTTTTATTGGGAGCTTTGATCATCAAAATTAAGATGGATATACGACTAATAGGGCTTTTATTGGGCTAGAAGTGGGCCTATTCTTTAGAGAACTTTTACTTTTAATACTTAGTTAAGAATCTTAAGATACTGTTATTCCTCTTAAGCAATTGATATTCTTTTGTCAAATTAATATACTGTACTTGTCTTCTTAGCAAGACAACCATCTAGATTCCAAGTCTTATTTTAATACAAGTCCAACAATCCTCAATCCAATCATACATAAGCTTGTTTCATTGACGGGTTAAGCTACATAAGCAAATCCAGTGTACAAACACTACAAAGCATATATACAATCCAGTACACCTCTTAACCTCTCTGTATCAGAAATATCATGTAAACACATTTGGATTAACAACATAAATGCACAACGTGGATTAATAAGGCTTTCGAGATAGTCCATCAGTCGTTACAATTATCCCCTTCATTTTGGGTCGACTCCCACTGTCTTCAACGATTCTACTCGTGACAATCTGCATCACACAACAATAAGATCCAATATCACACGTAAGTTAGAATAGCTATCCAAATAGACTAGACAAGTTCTATGTTTATACAAAAATTGACAAATTTAACCCTTCAATTAAATTTAATTACAATTAAATTCAAAACATAAAATGTGATAACTTTTTCTAGACACAACCTATCAAAACAACGCTACGAAAATTATATAATACCGAGTAGGTGAGTATATGTACCTTGCAAGGGGATCGCCTAGAATGGGGTTAGGAATAACAGGCTCCTTGTTCTCTTGAATATGAGCAATCTTCCTAAAGAAAGACTTCTTAACAAACCCCTCAGATTCATGAACAACATTTTCAGGTTCCACCACCTCAGGCAAAGTTTCTCTCCTACTCTTCTTAACATGAACATCCGGGGCATACAACAGCTCTTGCTTCGCGGTCATTAGCCCGAACGTTACGGACAGTCCTATCATCCCTATAGCTACATACACCGGAACATAGTCTCCCATGGGTTTACCCTTAGGCAACAATTCATCTTTTATGCTCTTCCTTTCACGGGAACGGACCGTCCCTACGCATGTTTGAGCCTCTTCGCTTGCTATTGTCCCTATGTTACGGCTCTTTGATATAACGGGCATCACTCCTTGAAGCATTTTAGCCTACAAAATCAATAAAAATTGTTCACTAAGGGCCTATTCAGCTTTGCTCGGTTCCTAATTTCCTTCTCACGTAAAATATTCATTTCAACTCAATTCAGTTCACTTCATTAAATGTGAACATGCCCTTAAGACAACATAAATACAAGTAGCTAGCTAAAAGTTAAAATACGAGTGACAAGTAAAATTCAACATTAGTTACAATATAATATTCAACTAGTGATTTTATCGTGTATTTCTTAATTAATACGAGTATCAATACAGGAAAGATTATTTGAATGTATTCATTATTCTTGCAAACTTTACATTATATTACTACAACATAACAATTTAATTACAGCATAGCTATCCAAAATATACTTTCTTTAATTTGTTGAAGAGCTAAGTCTAAATCTACGATAAATTGAGAAATGATACGGAGTACTAGATTAAAAAGTTTATTAAGGAAAAAAAAATGGATTATAGAACGTACCGTTGCATTTCTTAAAGCCATGGTAGCAGCTCCTCAAAGTTGGTTACCGAAAGATTTTGAGCACACTGACTATATTTTTCCCTTGATTATTTGGCAACAAGAATATTATGATTTTGCAAGAATATATATAAAGTATATATTTTAAGCGAATAAAGCTACAAAAAAAAAAAAAAAAAAAGTTGACAGATGATCTAGAGAGTACCTGATAGTTATAGAAGCCTCTTGAACCCACAAGTACCCTCTAGTTCTATTGGGTTATGGATAGTAATTATATTTATGAGGTCATGTCATTATTAATTAGGAGTGTATTTTTAAATATTTTAATGTCAAGACTTTTAGTCGCAGAAACGTGATTATGAAACTATGAAAAGGTTTAATAGTTGGCTCAATTAATAATGACACTTAAGTATACCCTGCCATGAATAAAAATTTTACAATGTCATTCTTTAAAAATGACACCACAATTTGCTTATGTGGCAAAATCTGATTGGGCCATATTTTGTATTTTTATTATTAATTTGAATTATTTTTAATGTCCATAATGTATTAAAATTGTATTCTTTTTAATACATGTATTTTTTTTTAGAAATACATATTTATAAATTATGAAAAACTTTTTTATAATAAAAATTAATTTTTGAATTTATAATTATAATTATAAATCATAAAATTAAATTCATTCATCATTTACGTCAAAAATTTTCATCATCGTTCATCATCGATCATCATCACTCATCATCGTTCATCATCACTCATCATCGTTCATCGTTCATCATCGCTCATCATTGTTCATCATCGCTCATCGTTCATCATTCATCATTCATCATCGTTCATCCATCAATCATACCTTAGATTAGCCCCCCATTCCCGAATTCAATGTTAATTGTTGATAATTTCGCATATCCCAGCTAAAATCTGATAAAATTTAGAAAATAATTGTGTTTTTGCATTTTGTTTTTTGCACTTTTTGATTTTAGGTTTTCGTTCATACAAAAATCTCAACAACAATCGCATTTATAATTATTTGCAAATGACGAATTTTGGAATAAATGGTTCGAAAATATGATTTATGTGGACTCAAATTGTGCAGTTTTGTCAAAGAACAAAGAGTGTCAAGTTTAATTTGTAGAAGATGAAGTTAGTCACATGTTTTTAACTACCGCAACCCCTGTTTGATCTGTTAAATGTACTCAAGTTTTCTCGAAGCTGTTTGTGGGTTAGGTAATTACCTAAATTATCATTGGTCATGACATAAGAAAATAATCTTTTTTAAATTATGGTATTAACCTTATTATATTATGGACTAGACAGAAAATTAAATTATGATATATGTTTTCATTCTAACATAATATACTTATATTTTGTCAAAATAAAATATAATATAGTTATATATTGTTAGAAAATTGATATTGTTCATAAGTATTTGTAAAGAAAGAATTCCTCTTTAAATGGTTCGAAATTTGTTTTATGTGGACTCAAATTGTGCAATTTTGTCAAAGAACAAGGAGTATCAAGTTTGTAGACAATGAAGTGGTCACATTCTATTTGATCCGATAAATGTAATTATGTAATTAGCTTTTCTCGAACTTGTTTGTGGATTAGGTAATGACTTAAACTAAGTTTGGTCACTACATAGGAAAACAATGTTTTTTATACTTTGGTATGAACCTTATTATAATATGGAAGTGACAAAATATTAGATTATGATATACCTTCTCACACTATACTATAATTTACCTATATATTGTTAGAAAATAAATACTCCATAGAAATCAATTACTTTTATTATGTTTAAAAATCATGTTATAAATGAAATTGCAAGTATGATTATGTATTTTTTTTTAATAAGATAAAAAGTCAGTTAGGTGAGCACACTTACATATGTGTTCTTGACCATGATTGGAGTTCAGCAGTACCAACTTCGATAGAAGGACTTATGATACCACAATTGAACGTGAAAAAGAAAAATAAGTAAAATTCTACTTAAGAACATGGCAGGATTTGATAAAGAATAATATACTAATTTAGGAATATCCCAAAATTATAGCCACTAAATTATATGCCCAATATTTCAAAAATATTGTTTCCAAATTATAATAAGATAATAATCTCATAAATATTTTTTTGCTAAAATGTTATGATAAAAATTTCAAAAATATTTTATTCAAAATACAATAAGATAATGATACCATAAATATCTTTTGCAAAATGATAAGATAAAAATTCCTTAAATCATTTTTTTTGTTATATGATTAGCGTAAAATTATGATTACTAAACGCAATTGGTAATAACCTAATTAATTATAGCTAAAAATTTACGATAATTACCTATATAAATAAAGGTAATGACCTAACTACATACAGGTAATTACCTAATCACAAATATATTTCAAAAATCGCAAATGAAAATTTTGGAAAAAACAGTTCGAAAAAGAAAAAAACAAACTCGAATTCTAAATTGAAGAGCAAACCCTCGTTATCCATTGACGTTAGAAAAATGGAAATTAAGCATTTCACATCATCATATTACACACGACTAAGGCTTTTTCCATTCTCAAAACTATCAAATAAAGTGATTTTTACATCAATCAAAATCATCAATCAAACCCTAAACGAAATTTATACCCGAAATTAGATGGGGTTTTGGACGGAATTTTGAACAGAACTTGGTCGAAATTTAGTCGGAATTGTGGTCAGAGTTGTGGTCGGAATTTTGGTCGGAATTGTGGACGGAATGAAGAACAACGAAGAACAATGATGATTTTATTTTTACTAAATTGTAATTCTAATTTAATTTTTGAAAATGATTTTATTAAGTTTAAAATAGATTTTAAAAAACTATAATTAGGTATTCTATAAAAAAAATACACGTATTCATAATTATACATACATGTATAGTATATTTAGGTATTTAAAAATAAATAAAAAATCGACCAATCATAACATGACACCTCGTCATGTTATGGTGTCATTTTTTAAGAATGGTACCTCATAGTTATAGAAGCCTCTTGAACCCACAAGTACACTCTAGTTCTATTGGGTTATGGATAGTAATTATATTTATGAGGTCATGTCATTATTAATTAGGAGTGTATTTTAAAATATTTTAATGTCAAGACTTTTAGTCGCAGAAACGTGATTATGAAACTATGAAAAGGTTTAATAGTGTGGCTCAATTAATAGTGACACTTAAGTATACCCTGCCATGAACGACTGTAATATATTTTATTTTTTTTTACAAAATTGGCTGTAACATTTTGAAGTATGTCTTAAGTGCACTGAGCACCCTAAACTTTACTTAGTAGCCAAAATACCATCAAATATGGTGTAAGATGCGACGCGTGCCTTAAATAATTTCCGACCACTTATTTCATCGAAGGAGATGAATCCGAGCTTGCCAAGTGGATGGATTTTGTTCAACATTTCCTTAAACTATTCTGGCTGATATGTTTCATGTGACTGATTTGTTTCATTTGTAATTGGCTGATATGGTTTTTGTGTGTGGCTAATTTCCTATTCCTTTTGTTAGTTGTTTTTTTTAACATTTTTGAGACGTTCCTTGTTGGCTGCTATCAAACATCATATTTGCTGTTATGTTTCTTTAGTTAGCTAATATCTTTATTTTGTTGGCTAATATTCCTTTTGTTGGTTGGTTTTTTTTGTACACATGTTTTATTGCATTGATAAAACAGTCTCGGATCATGCGGCAATAACTTATGATTCGGACCCTCTGGCTCAACGATCTAATAGGCCTTACCAGCTTGAATTATGGTGTCTTGGTTTTCCAGAGGTGCGTGAGATTGTGCGGTTGGAGTGGTCCTTTTCTTGCTATGGTTCCTTTCCTTTTTGCTTAATGAGGAAACTTCGACCTGTCCGAAATAAACTTCAGAGATGGTGTTTGGATAATAAGAAGCTTTGGGGTATAAATTGGCGATGTATCTCAAAGGATTTATCCTTGCTCGGAAATCAGTGTTATCCAAAGGTTAGACTTTATTATTCCTAAATGTAAAATTGAATTTCAATTTTGGCGACAACGGTTAAAATGTGATTGGATTAGAGATGGGGATGCTCCTACTAAACGACTTTTTTTTTTTTTTTTTTTTGAAAAACGAGGCAGGATATCATCAACTTAAATCAAGTTCAGCCAAAGATACGAAACTTTGGGGGAACAAACTCATACACACACGCTCATCACTTGTGCCCGTATCCCACCTAGCAGCAAAATGAGCAATTGTATTACCCGCCCGTCTAACATGGCTACAATTGAAGCTATCAAAATCATTACTCATTCTAATAATATCATCATAAAACAGAAATATGGGAGCAGCCCCTTCTTACTTTAATCTGACAGATCGAACCACTTCCATAGCATCGCATTCGAGGATCACCCTGCTAAAGCCCATCCTTCTTGCAACCTCCATACCATATCTTGCTCCTGCAGCTTCAGCGATCTTAGCACCCCATTTGCAGTGAGTTTTCTTCGCTGCCACAAGCAAAAGCTTCCCCTGTTCGTCCCTGATAACAACACCTAAGCACACCCCTGCATCCCCTGGAACATAGGCATCTACGTTAATTTTAACCCATTCATGAGCTGGCGGCTTCCACCCACTGAGAAGGCACGACAGACGCTGGAATGCACCTACCGACTTTCACATTATATTTCACATACTCCCTGCAAAAATTAACAAATCCCACAGCCACACTCACACCATTAATCTGAGTACAACCATTAAAAATAAAAGAGTTTCTAGTATGCCACGCAGCCCAAGAAAGACTAGCAAAGGTCAGCAGTTGGGATTTGTCAATCGTCTGAACCAAACAGCAAAATAACTCGGCAAAGGATTCATGAGGTGCATCCCTCAACAGAATCGTAAAGGGACTATTCTGCCACACGGGTTTAGAGAATTTACAGTGAAATAAGGCGTGCAATATTGACTCTCTAGCAGCTCCACATATAGGACATGTTCCAGAAGGTCTGATATGTCTGGAAAACAGGACATCCATCACCCCAAGCGTACCCTTACAAGCTCTCCAGATGAAATGTCGAAGCTTCGAAAGGCCACTCATGCTCCACACATCCTTCCAGACCTCACACTCATTTCCATAAAAACACTCCCAAGTACGAAGGTGACCCATTCTTCCTAACCAATAAGCTGATCGAACACTGAATATACCAGAAGCATTCGGCCATCAATACAGCCTGTCACAGACACTCATATTTAGCAGGGGAGTTTCCAGCACTTTC